CCCAACAGTTAACTGAAAGTTCACATTTTGCACTTTCCCTGCCTCCCACGTGGGTTTTTTTCAGTTCTTAACTCAAATCTAAGTACTTAAGTCAAGTCAATATTTTCCTATGAGAGTGGTTCTTAAGTCAAAATGTTCTTAACTCGAGCCGTTCTTAAGTCAAGACCCCACTGTACATATTATATGACCTCACTCTCCTGCACTATTCAGAATCTCCCCCACCCTTAATCTATAAAAGTCAATGGCAGCAGTTTTGAAAAGCATGCCACAGGGCAGCTTCAAAACATTAAAAAATAAAACTTTACACACAAGTCTGTAGACATACAACAAAAGAAAATAATGAAAAATCTGAACAGGCACATTAAAAACAAATATAAATGCCAAGGCAATTTTAAAAATTACAGAATTCTGAAAGGAAAAAAGGAAGGGAGAAAAAAGGATGGATGGGAAAAAATGGAAAAAAAAGGATGATACTGGAAGTTGGCAAAATAGAAACTGTGTCTTTTGTAGGTTGCAGTCTTCACATGGTGATTCATGGTGTTCTTTTCAGCCCCATTAAGCCCTGAAGGTCATTCTTCATCACATAAAACTACTCATCACAGATTGCACCTTAACATGCAGAGACAAAAAGGCATCTCTCCTTTTTAGAACACATGTCAATAGTTCTTTGGATCTGTTGCTACCACCTTGGAAGGAAGTGCCATAATTCTCAGAAAGTTCAGTCCTAGGGAGCGCCATGTGAAGATCAGGTGATGAATGATGGACAAAAAAAAACAAACAAACAAACAACACCTTTCTGCTTGAAATACTGAGGTGGTAATTCTAGCCACAATAGACAATGAAATGGCTATGTACAGGATATAAAGCTTTGGTGTACTCCTGGATTCATCCCTAAGCTTGGATGCCCAGGTTTCAGCAGTGGCCAGGAGTGCATTTGTGCAGCTAAAGCTGGTGCTCCAGCTGCGCCCATTCCTTGAGATGTCAAATTTGGCTACAGTGAGACATGCCTTAGTTACACTCTATGTGGGGCTACCTTTGAAGACGGTTCAGAAACTTCAGCTGGTGCAAAACTATGCAGGTAGACTACTGACTGGGGCCAGCTACAGGGAGCATATAACGCACCTGTTACAAGAACTGCACTGGCTACCAGTCCGTTTCTGGGCCCAATTCAAAGTGCTGGTCATTATCTATAAAGCCCCATACAACTTAGGTCCAGGCTACCTGAAGGACTGTATCTCTCTATATGCACCTTCTCAGTGATTAAGATCAGCAGAGGAGGCCCTCCTCTGGGTCCCATTGCTAGCACAAGCACAGCTGACGGGGACACAGGAGAGGGCCTCCTCTGTGGCAGCTCCCAGGCTATGGAATGCTCTCCCTCAGGAGATCAGGATAGCTTCTTCCCTTTTACCTTTTCAAAAAAAGCTAAAGACCCATCTCTTCAGGCAGGCTTTTAACAATTACAACTGAATATCTGAACCCCATCATCATCATCATCAACATCATCAAGCATTTTTCAGAGTTGATTGCCTCTTTTTGAATTCTATCCCTAGACTCTTTCAAACCTATGTTTAGCTGTAGGGTCAAATCCCATTACTTAAAAAAATCATTCAGACAGTTTAGCTATCATACATTAGGGAAAGTACTTTTCCGGACTATCACTTGTGGACAGTTGGACCAGTGCTAATTATGCTACTAATTTCAATTTGAGTTTTCATTAGTTTTCATCATTGTTTAAGTATTTCAATTATTTTCATTGCTTTAATGATTTGATTGGGTAACTTCTCTTAAGGTCTTTTAAGTTATCAAGGACGTTTATGAGGAAAAGTGCCTTATTCCTTTCTCCTCCATAGTATCCTGTGTCTAATCTCCCACTGCCAGGAGTGCTTTTCAGGATGAAGGAGATTTCTGCTGGCTATGGGGAATGCTCTTCTGGTAACTTTTCATCCATCCATCCATCCATCCATCCACCCACCCACCCACTTTTCCTACAATGAGCTTATGGTGGGATAAATAGCTTTCCTGCCCCCCCCCCTTTCCTCCTTGGGTTATTTTAAAGAGAAAGGTGGTACAAAAATATTTTCAACAAACAAACCCACCCTATGGTCAGGTAAAGAGAGAGCATGCCAATGCTGATGAAACCAAATCTAGTTAATTGAGACTTACTGGATTGTTGGTTTTATATTTGTTTTTGTATCTTCTACCATAAACTTTGACTAGCCAGATTTTACTTGTTCATTGGTTCTCTATTTACTACAGTATTCTATTCTCTTTTATTTTACTATACCAGTAAATGTATGATGATGATGATGAGTTTTCTACAATAAGCTTATGGCGGGCTACATAGCTTTCCTCTCCCCCCCCCTTTTCCTCCTTGGGTTATTTTAAAGAGAACGGTGATGCAAAAATATTTTCAACAAACAAACCCACCCTATGGTCAGGTAAAGAGAGAGCATGCCAATGCTGATGAAACCAAATCTAGTTAATTGGGACTTACTGGATTGTTAGTTTTATATTTGTTTTGTATCTTCTACCATAAACTTTGACTAGCCAGATTTTACTTGTTCATTGGTTCTCTATTTACTACAGTATTCTATTCTCTTTTATTTTACTATACCAGTAAATGTATGATGATGATGATGATGAGAACATGAATGGCTGAAGGTCACTCAGTGAGTTTAATGGGTCAGATAGGTCTGAAACATGGATCAGTCTAACACTGATAATACTGTAGTTCACGGATATTACAATTTGTACCATGTTCTAGCTGTAAAGGCAAAAGAGGCAGTGCAAAAACAAATCATTCAAACTAAATATTCAACAATCTCCTACCTTGGTATAATTTCCTCTAACCCTGACACTGCGTTAGGGAGATGGTAGTGGAGCAGAGCAGAGAGACTGGCAAGACTCTATTGTTCGGTATGGTCTTGGATTGTTAAAACTGGTTTTAAAAGGGGCCTTTGGAAGTGTTTCTAATTTTCTTCTAAAATAATGCTGTTTTTCTTTTAAATGGCTTTTAAAATTGTTTCTAGTATGTTTCTAAAAATAATATGTTCATCTATTTTGTTGTGCATCATTTTGGGACTGTTGGTGGGCAGAAAAACAATAGATAAATACTTTAAATAAATACATAAGTATCTTGTCTTAATGTGCTGCCATTCTGTTGCCAAAATCGGTCATGGTGCTGGTGGTAACTGGGATGACTCTCCTGCCTAAGCAGACAAAACCTGTATGTGCGGCTTCTAGCACCAGTGCTTCCAGGTAGCCATTCACAATCTATAGCAACCAACTACCAAAGCAGACACATGTTGAGTAATAACAGGACATGCATACAAGCAACAAAATTTCCAAATGCAAGCACAATACTATTCTTATTTAGAAGAGGTAGAGGTATCTGTGCTAGCATCTCAGGCCAAAACAAAAGAAAAAAACTGGAGGGAGGAAAGCCATGTATTCCACCATGAGCTCATCATAGGAAAGGTGGGATAGAAATCTAACAAACAAACAAATATATTGTAAGAACATTAACAGAGGGAAGATTTCTCATCCCTTGCAATCTCCTCCACCCTGAAAAATACTCCTGAGAGGTCAGAGTCTCCTGGCAGTGGAGGATTGGACAAAATAACTTCATTATTCCATGGAATTCTTCCTGAATTGAACAGACGTGGGTGCCCACTCCCCAGTCCCAGAGATACTTACACACAGATTCCTCCCTCCCTCCAGTCAAAGCACTAGCAGTAGGGCTGCAGGCTGTCATTGGCCATTTCAGCCCTGAATATTCTTTAGTAAACTGCCTTGTCTTCTGCCATTTATTCCCCTACTACCAGTCTGGCCCTACAGAGTAAACAGAGTGTGTGCTATTTGGGCCACACTGTGTTCTTCCCATAACATGCCTCGTTCTTTAGACATAAAAGTCACTGAGTGACTTTAAGGACTGGTCACTCTCTCAACCTGTCTGAGCTCATGGGGTTGTTGTAAATATACAGGGAGGAGAATAATAATGTATACTGACCTGGACATAGTGAAGGAAATGAAGGATATAATGTAACTCATACATAATAAGATAACTTAATACAGTATAGATTTTGGTTGAACTTAGTTCAATCATCAATCCAAAAGTCAAAAAATCAGAGGAAGAACTGAAAAAGGGCAGCAATGAAGGCATTAGAAAAGATCCTAACTGCAAGGATATGTCACTGGAGGCCAAGGCAAAGATAATCCATATTATGGTATTCATAATTACTATATGCAGGTATGAAAACTGGGCAGTGAAAAAAAGAGTTTATTCAAAGTGTGGTGTCAAGAAGAGCTTTATGAATATCATGGAAGGTCAAAAAGACCAATAAGAAGGTTCTACACCAGATGAACTTTTAAAAACTAAACTGAGGTTATTCTAATTTGGACACACAATGAAAAGATAACACTTAGTGGAAAAGTCAATAATACTGGGAAAAGTGGAAGGCACTAGGGAAAAAAGGTAGGGCAAACATGAGCCAGAATGATTTTTTAAAAATCCTTTAGTTGTCAGGGCTTTTAAGGACAGGACATTTTGGAGGTCGATGCTCATGGGGTCACTATGAGGCGGAAGTGAGTGGATGGCACATAGGCCATCAAATGAAACAAATCCTGAGTTTCTAAAAACAACATCCTGGTTATAGCTGGAGCTGTTGGAATCCCAAAATCTTTTTTTTTTTTAAAGAAAGCCTCTGGCCTAGAAATCTTTTTTTTTGTCTTGCTCTATGAAGAAGATGCTCATACCTACTTCTTGTACACAGAGAAGTGCATTCTGCACAGTCTCAGAGGCACTCTCTTAAAAGGATGCTGTTAGTAGACACAGACAGACGCGTCCCCGCCCCCGCCCCCTCCTCCTTTCCTTTCCAACGGTGTTGCTCAACCCCAAATCGGCGCACCTCGAGGAAGAAAGTTCCGACGGGCCTTGGGTCCCCGCGAAGTCTGCACCCCAGCCCCCGCATCCTGACTGCCCCTTCGACACGGCAACTCACCTCCAGAGGTTCTCCTTCCCACAAACGTGGCACAAAAACGAGAAGCACCACAGAAACCCAACAGCTGAAACCCTGCCCAAGTCTCCTTGGGCAAAGAAGCGACTCCCATCTTCCCCGCATTTCGTCACCACCACCCCCAAAGCCTGCCAGGACCTCACGCTGCTACAAGTTATAAGGAATAGATCCGTCTCTCCCTCCCTCTCGGAGAACATCATCCTTTTCTCTCCCCCCACCCTCCCACTCCTATTCCACGCTAGCCTTGCCATTTAGTGCACTTCGGAAAGCGAGCTCGTTTTCTCTCATACAGCCAGAAAGGACGTTCCGACGTTATCTGCTCTCCGGAACTGCCTCTTGCCGCAGCATTGGGTAACACGGGAAAAGACTCGGGCGCGAGGGCTTGCCTACCCACAGAGCCAGGTCTTCGCAGTCCTCCTCCTCCGAGTGCAATAAATTGGTTTTTAATCTTTTTTTTTTTTTTTGCAGACTGCTTTCCGGGGGGCGACGGGGCTCCTCGACCGCGGGACGTCGGGATACTACCCCATCCTTCCACACGCGCTCCTCTCTCTTCTCGCTCCCTGTCTCCAAAGCCGCAGCACCAGCTTCCCGCGCGCGCTCTATCGCTCCTTGCGCGCGCGCGCACACACACACACACGGCAAAGCGGCAGGCAGACCTCGCCGGCTTCGGCGTGCAGAAGTAGGTCAGAGACACGCTGCGCATGCTCGGCGTTGAGGCAGGCCGCAGTGGAAATAGCGCGGACTGTTGCCCTCCGATGCCTCTCTATTCCCTGCGGCTCGTCCCCGAAGGTCACCAGAATTGTTGGGATGGGCGGGCGAGAAAGAGGTGGCATCATGGGGGGGGTCCTCTCCCTTTCCTGTGCAGGGAGCGGAGAGGGAGATTCCCCCCCCGGCAACCTGCAAGGCCAGAGGAGTAGCTGGACCTCGGGGGGGGGGGGCTTGTTTTTAAGCGCCTTGAAAGGGTCGTCGTGACTGTCACTCTGTGGTGGTTTAGTCATTTTCTAGCAGAGGAGAGATTGCCGCCGCCATTTGCATTTTGCAGGTGTGAGCAAAGAAATTCCTCCAACCCTTGGCTTTAGTCATATCTATCAAGTTGTCTGTACTGTATATTGTGTATGCGTTACACCTGCTGGCCATAGGAATCTGTATATAGTCTCTCTAAAGTGCTACTGTGATTTATTGGAATTGTTACAAAAATGGTTACAACGAACGCAGTTTTCTAGTTACTTTCAACAGTTATTTTTAGGGACATTGAAAGGCATTTGTAGAGTTATTTTGACAACATTTTTTCCTTAGCTTTTGTGCCACCTTCTTATACCATTCCATTAGAAAGGATAATCAAGGGTAACAATGTATCATTGGAGACCAAGAGTAAGATAATTGACACTCTTGAATTTCCTGATTTTTATTGTCTTGTATTTCTGATCACTATGTGTGTGAAACTTGGACAGTACAGAAACCTGGCGGAAGAAAAAAAATCCTGATTATTTATTTATTTATTTATTTATTTATTTATTTATTTATTTATTTATTTTATTTATTTTATTTATTTTATTTATTTTATTTATTTTATTTATATGCTACCCACACTACCCAGAGGTCTCTGGGCGGCTTACAACAATTAGTTTGAAATGTGTGGGAGGAGAGTTTTGCAAATACTCTGGACTGCTGGAACGACAAATGAGTGGGTCCTAGATCAGATCAAGCTTGAACTATCTCTGGAGGCAAAAATGTTGAAGCTGAGACTTTCCTACTTTGGGCACATCATGAGAAGACAGAACTCTCTGGAAAAGACAACAATGCTGGGAAAGGTAGAAGGCAGCAGAAAAAGAGGAAGACCAAATACGAGATGGATTGACTCCCTAAAGGAAGCCATAGGCTTGAGTTTACGAGAGGTGAGCAGAGCAGTTGAGGACAGGACATTTTGGAGATTGCCCATTCATAGGGTTGCCGTGAGTTGGATGCAATTTGACAGCACATAACAACAACAACAACATTCTTAAGTGACAACAGAAGGGATTCTTTATTTTTTTTCCCCTGTAGTATTTTTGTACAGACTTGCAAGGTGCAATATCAGAATTGGCTACTAGATGGAGCCAAGTACTATTTCCCTGCATTTTCCTAGCCTGCTTGTGACAGCACTGGAACCTGCCAACAACAGATACTGCACTGAATTACTTGTGTGACTGAAGCTAAGTTAAAGCTAGAGATAATCTAGCTGTTCAGCCGTGATGAGAGTAACCCAGGTAGTTACTTTAAAAATGTGGCAGTTAGGAATGTTCAGTTCCTCCCCCTTCAGTAATTCTGCCTTAGTTCTCAGGTGGCTGTGGTTTAATGAAATTTAAATTGCCGTTTCACATCCATAACTTTTTAAGGACCCTATAGCGTGAAGTGGCTGCTTTGCTCCCAACTTGATGCTGGTATGGAAAGAAGTGGGACCAATGCTTAGAAAAAACATCCATTCCCTAGAATATTTTTCAAAGTATAGATATATAGACTTTCTTGGCACTGTGGAGCTTAATTTCTGATTTTAAATGCTTCAGCCTCGAAAATTAAGCATTTTTCTCTGTGTTTTGTAAAAGTCGTATGATGTAAACCTGAAGGACTGTTCTGTTGTCTTCTTTAAAAGCCTACCTTTAAAAAAATCTAGACAATTATAAAAATAATATATAATATTACAATTGAATTTAGATTTTTCCCTCTATAAGTTAATTTTGTTTAATTTATTGTTCAACGAGATTCCATTTTGTTGCATCATTAATATTAATAATACTAACAACAACAATATGTCAAGTTGATTCTAATGTATGGTGACCCTTGAAAGGATTTCCTAGGTATTAACTACTCAGAAGTGGTTTACCATTCCTTTCTTCTGATGGTGCTCTTGGACTGTGCAGCTTGTCTAAGGCTACACAGTCTGGCTGTTCTTGAGAGAGGTATTGAATTCCCAACCCCTGGATCCACAGGCAGGTCCTCCAACTCCAAGCTATTCAGCCATTGGTAGACTTATCAAAAAAAATATTGTGGATTGTATCTGTGGTAGGTTGAGAAGTATGTTGCACTGCTCTGTTTCCTGCCAAAATTTACCAGTATGGCAGCATGGTTTCCCCATCACTCCCCATTAAATGAGGCACATGCCCCCCCATAAACTGTTTACACATTGATTCATGCTTTCTGGAGTGCAGATCTGTTTATAAACAGTGCACATTCAGAATTTTCACCTTGTTTTGAAGGGAAAGGGACAGTGCTTAAGGTGAAAACACTACCTTTTTGCTAGTAAGGTGCCAAATTTTGATGCACTGGAAGGGGATTCTTGGAGGATTTTTATGTAACAACAACGCAACACATTAATAATGGGCAACATAACAAATTTCTAGCATGATTGGATGATTGGAGCACTGATAACACTAATGTCAATGTGGCTGGTGGGAATTAAAATGCCATGTTCCAAATTCCTGCCCCATGAAAAAATCAGTGGGTGCTTAAGTGCTGAATCATATCATTTTGTTCAACTTATCAACGGGACTTTTTTTTTCACGCTCTTGCAATCTGTCTTGTCATCTTCCTCATTAAGACTTTGCAGAGATAAACCATATGGTTCACTGACAAAGTGAACATACTCTCTGTCAGGGACACTTTGCTCCCCTGCAGTTCTTTCCTTCTGTTTGGGCTCCTGTACAATATAGCTACATATTAATGTAGACAATATTTAGCCTGCTTTTCCTATAGAAAAGTCCCAATTAAAATAGCTCATTCAATTAATGAGGGTTTGATAGATCAGTACATACATAAGGCTCATGGATTCCAATGTGGACTAACAACTGGATTTAGTCCAGAAATTCCAAGTAAAGAATCCATTGAACTGCACTTGAGGCAATGAGATTTTTATGTTGTAATTTAACAGTTAGACAAGGCAAAAATGCCCACCAGCCAGCCAGCTAGACAAACAGACAGATAATAAGATTTTTTTTCAATGTTTAGGATAGGCAAATACTGTATTATTTTATCAGCTTAATTATTTTTTTTGGTAAGACACAGATTTCTTATAAACTTATTGTTTTGTCTCTGACAAATGAAATCTAGTTGACATATATGCAGAGCATGGGGTGGATAATTTCCCCAAAATGACTAGAAACATTTTCATTTATTCTCTCTCCAGTGTGGTTGCAGTAGAACCAAGATTATTTCCTGCAAGATTATTATATTAGAGCTAAGGGTTTTTTTGCATTCCATTAAAAAAACCCCACTCAGGTGGCCAGTGACTGAGGGAAAGCTTGCCTAAAGAGAAAGTGCCTGCTTGCAAAAGGCCAGCAAAGATGGGACCAACCTGGCCTCCTGTGGGAGGGAGTTCCAGAATCTGAGAGCAGCTACAGTGAAGACCTTTTCCTGTGTCCCCATCAAATGCACATGTGAAGGTGGGATCAAATAGAAAAGTCTCTCCTGATGATCGTAACACCCGAGCAGGCAGGAAAAGGGAGACACGACCCTTATGACAGCTTGGACTTTATGGGTTAGAAACAGCGCTTTAAATTGTGCCCAGAAACAGATCCAGAGCCAGTGGAGTTGCTGTAAATTGGCGGGGGGGGAGGCATTATGTGATCCTTGTGATTTAAGCTAATATCTTTGCATTACGGAGAAATCACAGCAAATAACCTCTAATTTTGCATGAGATGTCTTTTTAAAAAAACAACAGGTAAAGATTCCATGTTTTAAAGCTGTATTCTACTCCTATTGGTCTTCTGACCCTGCAGCACAGGCTTCTGCGGTTTAGCCCACAGCGCCACCACGTCCCTACCAAATAGAAAAGTCTCTCCTAATGATCGTAACACCTGAGCAGGCAGGAAAAGGGAGACACGGCCCTTATGACAGCTTGGACTTTATGGGTTAGAAACAGCGCTTTAAATTGTGCCCAGAAACAGATCCAGAGCCAGTGGAGTTGCTGTAATGGGGGGGAGGCATTATGTGACCCTTGTGATTTAAGCTAATACCTTTGCATTAATAGAAAAGTCTCTCCTAATGATCGTAACACCTGAGCAGGCAGGAAAAGGGAGACACGGCCCTTATGACAGCTTGGACTTTATGGGTTAGAAACAGCGCTTTAAATTGTGCCCAGAAACAGATCCAGAGCCAGTGGAGTTGCTGTAATGGGGGGGAGGCATTATGTGACCCTTGTGATTTAAGCTAATACCTTTGCATTATGCAGAAATCACAGCAAATAACCTCTAATTTTGCATGAGATGTCTTTTTTTTTTTTTTTTTTTTAAACAGGTAAAGATTCCATGTTTTAAAGCTGTATTCTACTCCTATCTAATTCTTAGCTTTTGGTTCAGTTCAGTACAGGTATTTTTAAATTACAGAACTTTTTTCATGAAACAGGTCTGCCACCTGCTGACAATACTGTGGTACTGCCAATAATGAATTTTAAATATATTTTTATATTTCTAAATTAATTTTCTGAGGAATTTCTCCCCATAACCTTCAATTCCTTGGTTGTGTTCTTATTTTAAAACTTTTGATAAAGGAGACATTCATAAAGTTAGAAAGAAATGGGAGAAAATGTATGTCTACACTTTGCTTGTGTTATAAAGGCGTTCCAGGTGCCACATTCAGCCACCTTTGATGTGGTTTTTCCCATTGAAGTTCCTAGATGTATTTAGGGTGTCTCAAAGGTCAAAACTTTACCCAACAAATTAAATGGCTAGCTCTTGGCATTATGTGTAGATTATTCCAGCTGTTGCATTATGCTGAGTGACTGCTAGAGGGAGCCAACACTGTTTTGCAATGAATGCCAGTTTCTTAAGTTTCTCGTGAATATGTTTGGAAGAAATTCAATAACTATTGCTTTTGTAGTCTAGAATAATAAATAGGCTGGGGAAAAGACCCCAAATTCCTTCCATTCTTAATCCTGAGCCACAACACACTTTGTGTACTTTGCTCCAGATAATTCAATTTTTAGTGGATCAAGTGGTTCTAGATGGAAATGGTTGGGGCGGACAGAAAAATTAGTTGACATTTCTCCCTCTCCTGCAAGCAGGGGCAGCAACAGAAAACAAAAACACAAACTGAGAAACAACAAAATAAAACTCAGGCAAGTGCTTCTTATTGTCCCTCTCCATTTCAATTCCAGCTGTATTTCCTTTGCAAATGCTATGTGATGCCCTCTAGAAGCAGGGCACCCAACTCTGATATATCTGGGGCTAGTTTTGAGCCCCTAGAATCTATTGTGGGTTTTATCTCCCATATCGCTAGAATTTGGTGGCAACAGAAATTGTGTCTCAAAGCAAACCCCAATAGCTTGCTTTGAATGGGTTTTTTCTCCCAGTTGCAGTGGTGTGACTTGCCAGCAAAGTTCTGTGGTGTCATTGTGTCATTCTATTTGGGAGGACCTCAAGAAGAGCCTTGGGGCATTATCCCCACCCCTGCCTCTAGCAGTGTTATATGGACTTCTAGAAACAAATGTGGGAGAGTGAAAGGACTGAATGTCACAACTACATAGATTCCAGTGATGGGCAGCCAGTGGTTCTCCTTTTCCTGCACTGAGTGGGCTGTCAGGCTCAGGTGGCTTCAGCTGGGATTCTGAAATACTGTAGTGAGAGAATTGACTGTGGGCAACAGCCTATGAGTTCCAATCCCTGAGAACCTCAGACCTGGAAAAAAGTAATATTTCTATTTCCAGTATGCTTTTTGAGAACTCTACTAAGTAAGTGTAATGCCTATAATAATGAATTTAGATCTCCAGTGCTGGAAAGGACCCTATGAATCACTGGGTCCAGTGTCTGCCAAGGAGGCACAGTGGGGAATTGAAGTCTGCCAAGGAGGCACAGTGGTCTCCACAACCAGATACCTTAATTACTGAGCTATCCAGCATTTCTGTGAAGTAGTGGTTCAGCTTAAAGGGATGGGACTCTCCACAACTGGATACCTAAATTACTGAGCTATCCAGCAGTTCTGTAAAGTAGTGGTTCAGCTTAAAGGGATGGGACTAAGAAAGAGCAGGGCTGTGAGTAAGAAATTTGAATCAGAAAGACTGGGAGAGCAGAAGAGGCTGGAGCTGCTGTTGCCGTTTGGATTACTAAGGTTCTTGCCAACTGGGTCTAGGTAAAAGTCCTATATGTTTTTGTTGGAGGAGTGAGTCCACATAGTAAATTCATAAACTGCATACCTTTGAAGTGATATTTTATTTTAGGTTTTTAAAGTTTCCGTATGTGGAGCTGATTTGTTGAGGTATTGGACACCCAACCCAGTTGAGGAAGCTATCTTGGATTTTTCTTATCTGAATTTGAATTCAAACAGATGCTTAAACTTTGCAGTTCTACAAGTAACTACTGTATTGGTGCTGTTGCCAACGGCTTTGGTGCACAAATTGTAGCATTTTGTTGTTTTAATTATGCATTTTATCTGCTACGTTACATAACAATGAATAAGAAAAGGCTCATTTTGTGAAATTGTGTTTGCAAGGTTGATCAATAGATATCTAAGTAAGCAAACAGTCCCATAGAACTTAAAAGTGTTACATAAGCATTGTTCTGAAAATGAATTTTTAGCTGATGTAGACATCACAAAATAGTACTATAAAAAGGTTCATCACACAAGTCTATTTTTTAAAATAAAAGCAACAGTACAATATTTGAAAAGTGAAACAATGGGAATACCAGGGATGTATTCAATTATTTATTAAGCAGCTCATTCGGTGAAATTTGAGACATAGTTAAATATTGTTGAAGGCCACTCTGCTAACATCAGCCAATTCTTCTTTTATAAGTTCAGCCAATCTCTGAAAACCCTGGTTTGGAGGGGAGGGGGGAGAAAGAGAACAGTGTATCATTATAAAATGCAAAAATGCTAATCAATTATCAGGATAAATTTAAATTGTAACCACTGCTGTACAATCAGACTCCCTAAACTCACCTCTTTTATAGGAATTCGGAAGATAACCAAAGGCAGGATATTTTGGCTGATGTCATTAATGCACATTGATATTTTGGCTACTGTAATTGATTGAATGAACTTTTAAAATAACTATTCAAATAAAATTAAACAAGCCTTCTGCATTATATCCCAATATTATTCCCACTTGGAGACTAACAACTGGAATAAATTAATTACATCCAGAGAATTAAAATAAAATATTCTGATAATGCTGTCACTTGGTGGGCAAAATCCTGTTGGTGTAGTTAAGTCAGCATAAACTGGACCCAGTGCCAAAAATAATTAATTTAAACTTACTGGAAGCTTCATATTCCCCCTTTCGGGTTCCAAGGCTCTCCAGGGTTCCCTTTTATCATCAAGAGGCCTTAGTGCTTCAGAATGGGAGTGGTGGTGGTGCTCTTAAATAGTCAAAATTACTGCCAGATTGCCACTGACAGTGTCACTCCTTTTTTCAAAGTAATTGAGACTTCTACTGTTTTATAATTATGGGGTACTGCCTCATTAAATGTTAGAGAAGAAATATCGTTTTATTAAAGCACTGCCGTGTGCTCCCTTCAGCAGTTTATAGTTTATTTTTGAAAGCAACTAAAAAGAACTTTATTTTTGTACAGTGGTGCCCCGCATAGTGACGTTAATCCGTTCCAGGATTAACGTCGCTATCCAGATTCATCGCTATGCGGGCGGAAAAACCCATAGGAACACATTAAACTCCGTTTAATGTGTTCCTATGGGGCGAAAACTCACCGGTAACCGAAGATTCCCCCATCTGGCCACCATTTTCGCTGCCCGGTAAGCGAGGGCAGGGCGCGAAAACGGAGCGGGCGGCCATTTTATTCTTCCAGCGGCCATTTTGGAACCGCTGATCAGCTGTTTTTATAACATCGCAATGCGAAGATCGGTAAACAAAATGCTTGTCGATCATCGCAATGCAATTTTCGCCCACTGGAATCATCGCAATGCAATCGCATTAGCGATAGCAAAAAACACGTCGCTATGCGGATTCGTCGTTAAACGGTGCGCTCGTTAAGTGAGGCACCACTGTATTTTATTTTAGGTACATCTAACCTGCTCTGTGTCAAGGGTTTTCAAGGCAGGCACAGTCAGCAATCTAAGATAATTCAAACAGTATTAAACACTTTAAAATAATTTAACACCTCTGATAAAAGAAATATGAAATCTGATAGAACAAAAACCTAGCCATGATCTTACAGGTCTCTAGCTGCTTAGATGAATGTTATTACTATTGTTATGTGTCGTCATGTTGCTTCCGACCTATGTCGACCTTATGAATGAGTGATCTCCAAAATGCCCTGTCTAGAGATGGGCACTTGACTGTGTGTGTTTAGGCACATTGGGCCCACAGATGTTGCGTGGGGCACCTTGGATTCTGCACTGTGCCTCCTCTCGTAGGTTCCCACTCAGAGGAGGAGGCAGGGCAGGGAATCCAGTGCAACTGCTTCTGATGGGCACCTCTGGGGGAAGGTGTGGGTCTGATCTGCTGAACCATGCCAAAGCACAAAATCACAGTAAGCGCCCATCCCTAGGCCTGTCCTCAACAGCCCTGCTGGGCTCTTGTAAACTCAAGCCTGAGGCTGCCTTGAGATAAATAGCCATATTTTCATTTGCTACTGAAGCAAAAGGCAATTCCAGCCCCAGACAGACCTCCAAGGGAAGGTGGTTCCAGAACAACAGTGCTACAAACCCCAAAGGTTACAAGTTCACCACCAATGTTTTACTCTGTATACAAATATAAAGTTCCATTCAAGTCTCTCCTTCCTTCCTCCCTGCCTCCCTCCCTCCCTTTTTGTGCAACAAGAAAACAGACTTCACTTGCCTGATCCATTTGTTCTGGAGAAGCATAAGAGAAGCTAGCTCTGACGTAAGGGCATGGTTCTGAGCCATCAATCATAAAATCTCTCCCAGGAAGCAAAGACACCTGTAAAGGTGGATTTCTTATATTATTCATTTGTATGCAGATGTTAACCACTTTTCAACCACAAAACTTATCAACCACAAAACATTTCTAGCTGTATTACTCCACCTAGATTATTTCTGTATGTGTGCATACTGAAATGCATGACAAGCTGGAGACAGTAGTAACGTGGAATTGTCTTACAAGCAAAGCTTCATTTTAATGTATTCGCGAAGGCTTTCACAGCCGGGATCTAATGGTTGTTGTGGGTTTTTCGGGCTCTTTGGCCATGTTCTGAAGGTTGTTCTTCCTAACGTTTCGCCAGTCTCTGTGGCCGGTATCGTCAGAGGACAGAGTGCTGTCCTCTGAAGA